GACTGACACACAAGTACATAGGCAGAGAAGGAACCAAGCTATCCCACGGAGGAAGAGACGAGTAGTGGTGGTTGGTGACTCCCTACTGAGAGGGACAGAAGAAGGTGTATGCAGACCAGACAAGGAATCTCGAGAGGTTTGTTGTCTTCCTGGAGCATGTATGTGAGATGTGACTGAGAGAATTCCAAGACTGGTCAAGACCTCTGATCGCTACTTGCTTCTGCTGATCCATGTGGGAACAGATGATATAGCCCAAAGAAACCTTGAATGGATCTCCAAAGACTGAGGCTCTGGGCAAGAAGGTGAAAGATCTGGGGGCAAAGGTGGTGTTCTCCTCCATTTTACCTGTTGAGGGCCATGGAGCTGGAAGGAAGAACAGGATACTGGAGGTGAATGGCTGGTTACGTAGATGGCGCCGTTGGGAGGAATTTGGCTTCCTGGACCATGGTATGTACCTCCGACATGAAGGACTGTTGGTGATGGATGGGGTGCACCTTACAAAGAATGGGAGGAATGTCTTTGTTGGAAGACTTGTGAACCTGATCAGGAGGGCTTTAAACTGAAGACATTGGGGGTGGGAAGAAAAAGCCTGATGTTGTGCAGCATCCCCAACACTAAGTTCAAGAAGGGGAGTGATCAGAGAATAAATGAACGGGAGAGAAGTGAGTTCAGTAATTTTTAGGTAATTTTGAAGGGACCTACGATAGGAAAGGATGTCTGTAATCTGAGGTATCTTTATACTAATGCACAGAGTATGGGAAATAAACAGGAGGAACTTGAACTTCAAATATTGGAAAGTAAGTATGATCTGATAGGTATCACTGAGACTTGGTGGGATGAGTCTCATATATGGAGCACAGCGATTAAAGGATATACCTTGTTCAAACAGAACAGAATAAACAAAAAAGGAGGCGGGGTGGCACTATATATCAAGAATGAATATGCTTGCACTGAAATTCAGGATTTTGAGAGTTGCCCTGTTGAAAGTGTGTGGGTAAGGATAGAGCAGGGGGGGAAAAGAAGGGGAAATTGTTGTGGGGGTATACTACAGACCTCCAAACCAACCAGAGGAACTGGATGATGCATTTGTACAACAGCTTGCTAAACTTTCACAGAGACAGGATGTAGTGGTTATGGGAGATTTCAACTATCCAGATATTTGCTGGAAATCTAACTCTGCTAGACATGGGGCGTCCTGCAGATTCTTGAATAGACTTGCGGAAACTTCATCTCTTAGAAGGTGGAGGTGGGAACCAGAGGATCTGCTATCCTAGATTTAATTCTGACTAACAGGGAAGAACTGGTTGATGAAGTGAATGTTGTCGGATCCTTGGGGAATAGTGACCATGTCAGCTTGGAATTTGACATAGAGAAGGATGTGAAACCAGGACATAGTAGGACTCGTATCCTGGACTTCAAGAAAGCTGATTTTAAAAAATTCAGAGAAATATTAGGTAGGATCCCATGGCTGCAAATGCTGAGGGGGAAATCTGCACAGGAAGGATGGGTGATGCTGAAAAATGAAGTGCTTAAGGCACAATCGCAAACTGTTCTGGTAAGAAAGAAAGGTGGGAGTTTTATGGTGACCCTTTTCTCCTGTGGAACTGCACTGTGTAATCTGGAGATAGTTGTAATTCCAGGTGAACTCCAGGCCCTACTTGGAGGCTGGCAACCCTATCCTATGTAGTGTACACACGGTCACTGTCACCATGTTTGTCAGCCTACAGGTATTTTTGCTCTCCCGAAGAATACAGGTTTGGATCCTAAAGTGTCATTCAGCTCATCCATACCCATTGTGCAAGCAAAAGTTTATTTTTGAAACAGCACCGTCACTTGACTTTGGCCCCTTTCAAACAGCCTTTGTGTTCCATTTTAGTAGCTGGTTGCCAATGGATTTTTTTTTTTTGTCATTTCAGACAGACCCATTTTAGTAACTGGCTGCTAACAGATTTTATTTACCTTTTCATACAAAGCCACTTGCATCTGGTTAGCAAAGCGTGGTTGAACCGTTTTTGAGGGAAACTGCTTTCTTCTGTTTTCACCGCTTTGTTGGGCTTCTGGATCGCTGTGGTGCGCTGTTTATCATGTCCGCAGCACTTTCTACGATGCCACTCCCCCCCACCCATTTTTGTGGCACGATCTTCCTTGCTTGAACTGTTTTTGAATATTCTCAGTTGAGCACTATAGTGCTAAACCAAGATAACATTTCAGTGCTCCAGCGGTACCTTGGCCATGATACTGGTCTAGCTCTATAGCACTCAACTTAGAACATTAAAAAAAAAGTTCAAGGAATACACACCATGAAAAAGTGCACGGGGGGGAAATCTGCACTATGAAATGACCATAGCACTTCAGAGACGGCTAGATAATGGAAGGAAATTGTATGAAACCCCTGTCCCTGTATCACTTTACTTCGAACTGGGCCAACAATGGATATCATCTAGTTTAGAACAGTAAGGGGCCTTTGTCTCCTGCAATAAATTTACACTTGTGTAACTGGTACTGTATGAGGAAACACTGCCTACGAACCTACTGTTGATTTTGCTGGATTGTGCTTGTGGAAGTGATGCCCGTAGCACAGCGGTGACATGTGAATTAAACTATGCTGAACTCAAGAAATGTTCTGCACTTGCTGCATACATCCAAGACCTCAGTTCAAGACCCACCACTGTTGTGGACTTGGGGCCCATTCTCAGGACCACTTCAGCCTCAGGCAGCCATAATTTTCAGTCAGCTCATTCTGGCTTCCAGCCATAGTGATCCAATAGTAGCAATGGGCTCACAGCCTGCTGAGTCTGTATGTATGTAGCGTATGTGCATGCAAGTTAGTATGAGCTAACTAAATTCATGACAATCATCCATGTGAAACAGCTGTGTGAACAGGCCCTTGTTAAGAACCATCTCATCCTCTGCTTTATATTTGTACAAAGGAAACAACAGTGCCTTCCTTTACAGAATTATGGAGAGGATAAACAAGATTATGAAGCCCTTAGCTAGTTAAAGACACTTTCTAAATGATAAATATTACTTGCACTACAACAGGGCACCCATTTCAGACAGCCTCTGCTCTTTAGTATAATGGTTAATTCAACCCAGGACAGTGCCCCAAATGTGCCAACAGCAGAAGTCCTTCAAGTGGAACCTTGAGTGGATGAACTCAAAGGAGAAAGCAGAGAGTCAAAAGGGAGAGGGTGGGAAAGAACAGTGATTCCTACAATAATAACAATCAGTTTCAGTGTCTAGTTAATTTTGGCAGTAAGAATATGGTAATAAGTTTTGTTATGCTGATGTGATGCTGCTGAAAATCAACATACTCAAGGCTTTTTCCCATAATGCGTCATGGGAATGCTCCCATAACTCACTCCCATGTCTGGAAACCTGCATCTTTTTCTAAGATGGATCCACATGCACTTAAAAATGTGCAAATGCCTTAGCAGCACCCATGTCTTCCCTAGAAGTAATCAGAAATGTAATTGTCTTGAAGGAAAATGATCTTCTCTAGGCACTGTATAGAAAGGGGCCCTTAGAATTTGATGGGGTAGGGGGTTTGATGAAATTGTGCCTAGTACAGGCTGGTAACTCAGATCAACCAGCAAATGCACTGGTGAGGAGGCCACAACTACATTTCTATCAGAAAAGCCACCTAGGAGGAAGGCCTTTGTCTCCTGCAATAAATTTACACTTGTGTAACTGGTACTGTATGAGGAAACACTGCCTACGAACCTACTGTTGATTTTGCTGGATTGTGCTTGTGGAAGTGATGCCCGTAGCACAGCGGTGACATGTGAATTAAACTATGCTGAACTCAAGAAATGTTCTGCACTTGCTGCATACATCCAAGACCTCAGTTCAGGACCCACCACTGTTGTGGACTTGGGGCCCATTCTCAGGACCACTTCAGCCTCAGGCAGCCATAATTTTCAGTCAGCTCATTCTGGCTTCCAGCCATAGTGATCCAATAGTAGCAATGGGCTCACAGCCTGCTGAGTCTGTATGTATGTAGCGTATGTGCATGCAAGTTAGTATGAGCTAACTAAATTCATGACAATCATCCATGTGAAACAGCTGTGTGAACAGGCCCTTGTTAAGAACCATCTCATCCTCTGCTTTATATTTGTACAATGGAAATAACAGTGTCTTCCTTTACAGAATTATGGAGAGGATAAACAAGATTATGAAGCCCTTAGCTAGTTAAAGACACTTTCTAAATGATAAATATTACTTGCACTACAACAGGGCACCCATTTCAGGCAGCCTCTGCTCTTTAGTACAATGGTTAATTCAATCAGGACAGTGCCCCAAATGTGCCAACAGCAGAAGTCCTTCAAGTGGAACCTTGAGTGGATGAACTCAAAGGAGAAAGCAGAGAGTCAAAAGGGAGAGGGTGGGAAAGAACAGTGATTCCTACAATAATAACAATCAGTTTCAGTGTCTAGTTAATTTTGGCCGTAAGAATATGGTAATAAGTTTTGTTATGCTGATGTGATGCTGCTGAAAATCAACATACTCAAGGCTTTTTCCCATAATGCGTCATGGGAATGCTCCCATAACTCACTCCCATGTCTGGAAACCTGCATCTTTTTCTAAGATGGATCCACATGCACTTAAAAATGTGCAAATGCCTTAGCAGCACCCATGTCTTCCCTAGAAGTAATCAGAAATGTAATTGTCTTGAAGGAAAATGATCTTCTCTAGGCACTGTATAGAAAGGGGCCCTTAGAATTTGATGGGGTAGGGGGTTTGATGAAATTGTGCCTAGTACAGGCTGGTAACTCAGATCAACCAGCAAATGCACTGGTGAGGAGGCCACAACTACATTTCTATCAGAAAAGCCACCTAGGAGGAAGTCGATGTGCCAATAAACAGTCCCCTTTTTGTATCATCAAGCTTGCTGGTGGCAATGTGCCTTCTGTGATGTCTTCCGGGACAGTGCAAGGAACACTGTGGGGGCACTAACTGAATAGCAGGCAAGTGAACAAGGTAGGGTTGCCAGGTCTTACCTTGGCTGCAGCAGGGGACTTTGGGGGGAGTTCTGGGGCTGAAGCCCTGAAAACCGGAGTTTTCCCCAGTATCCCGGGGGAATGACAACCCTACAACAAGGAGATACAATTAGGGAAGTCAGCTGGGAAGTGGGTAGAATATAGTAGCTGTTCAGTGGGCAAAAGAAGACAAGGCTGGACATATTATTATATTCCATGTTTATAGTCAACTATACAGGATCCAATCACATGTTTAAAGGCTTTCTCAAGTGACCTGACAAAATGCATCTAATGAATTGGTCTTTGGCTCTTGAATGCTTATGCCACAATAATTAAGTCTTCAAAGTAGTACATGTAGTTTCTCAAATGATGTTCCTACTTTAGTTGATTCTCATGCTGTATGATATATGTAAACAGCAAAAAGCTGTGCACAATAGAAGACGCTGAGAGTAGCAGAAGCTAATAAATACAATCTCTCCTTATATATAAAAGAGTTTTGGTGTGATTCCTGGACACGCCCCCACAGCCCTTTGCCCGCTCAGCTGCCACACTGCTGACTCCCAATCCCCTGGCTGCATTTACTCGCTGCGTTGGCTCGGCCCCACCCACAGAGCCGGCAGCCAGCGTTTCGCTCTCAGTCTGGAGGGAGCTGGCGAAGGGAATGGATACTCCGTCGAGCAAGCGGCAACCCCTCCATGGGGGAGAAGGAGGCAGACCTAGCGAGCAGCAGCCAGCAGGGGAAGCACTCACCGCTGCCCCTCGTGGCCCCTCTCCCTTGGCTGCAAGGTCAGCGCTTTGTTAGGGCGATAGCTCAGCAGGCTGCACCGCAGAGAAGGCTGCCCAGCACCTTTTAATGGCTCCCCCACCTTCCTTTAGCAGCGGCGGCAGGGCCAGGGAAGGTCTGGCCTGGAGGAAACGAGCTGCGGCTCCTGGAAAGACACTCTCTTGGCTCCTGTGTGGGCCTAACTGTGACTAACTGTCCCCTCAGTGGCTCTTGGTAGGCAACCAACCTCTGTCAGTAAAAAAAAAAAAAAGGACTTTCAGTATAACCTCCTCCCCCACCCACTGTACTTTTTCCTCAGTGCCTGTTGCTAGGCAACCAGGTTCTGTCAGTAAAAGGCTCTTTCCACACCTATTTTGGCATTTGGGATAAAACTCATTGGGGCCAGTCCTAAAAGGGTTGCCAACTCCAGGTGGGGAATTTTTGGAGATATGAGGGATGGAGCCTGGAGAGGGTGAGGTTTGAGGAGGGGTGGGACCCCAGACAGGTGCAATGCAATAGACCCCACCCTCCAAGCCAGCCATTCCCTCACGGGAACCATTGTTGCCAATCTCCAGGTGGGGGCTGGAGATCACTCAGAATTACACCTGCTCTCTAGGAGGGAGGGGGAGGAAATGGAAAGCTGAAGCAGATAATGGTAGGTTGATGGTTGGCTGGGAAGGAGATAGGGTTGCCAACTCCAGGTTGGGAAATTCCTGGAGATTTGAGGGATGGAGCCTGGAGAGGGTGAGGTTTGAGGAGGGGTGGGACCCCAGACAGGTGCAATGCAATAGACTCCACCCTCCAAGCCAGCCATTCCCTCACAGGGAACCATTGTTGCCAATCTCCAGGTGGGGGCTGGAGATCACTCAGAATTACACCTGCTCTCTAGGAGGGAGGGGGAGGAAATGGAAAGCTGAAGCAGATAATGGTTGGCTGGGAGGGAGATAGGGTTGCCAACTCCAGGTTGGGAAATTCCTGGAGATTTGAGGGGTGGAGCCTGGAGAGGATGAGGTTTGAGGAGGAGTGGGAACTCAGACAGGTGCAATGTCATAGACTCCACCCTCCAAGCCAACCATTCTTTCATGGGGAACCATTGTTGCCAGTCTCCAGCGGAGGGAATGAGATTACGCAGAATTACAATTGCTCTTCAGATGGCAGAGATCAGTTCCCCAGGAGAAAATGATTAACTCTCTGTCATTATACCCTGCTGAGGTTGCCACAGCAAATTAACGCTGAGTGCCCAAGGCCGGGGCACTCTCCCAGAGCCTCTCCCTAGAGCTCGTTGTATTTATTTCCACAACAGGCCTTATTCCTAATATTGTAATATATATAAGGATATGAATGAGAATATTAAATCACGAATAACAAAGCCATCAAATACACAAAGCACAAGAATAATACATAGATGGTAAGAAGCATAAGTAGATCAAGCAGGTAAGTAGTCCGATGAGTTCATACGAAGGTTCCGGATATTAATAACTTTGTTTCAAAATTCTTCTTCAGTTAAGACTATTACAAGTTATCTCGGGTATAATTTTCAATACAACCAGGATATACACATCTCAGAAGAACATCCTTCAGAAGGATATGCAGTTTATATAAATGGGCAACCAGTCACTAACCAAATTTTTTTTAACACCTATTCTTGCTGCTGGCCTTGCTATGTATTATTCTTGCGCTTGTTGTATTTGATGGCTTTGTTATTTGTGATTTAATATTCTCATTCATGTCCTTCTATATATTACAATATTGTATTTATTAGCTTCTGCTACTGTCAGTGTCTTCTATTGTGCACAGCTTTGCTTATTGTATTATATATGTACACACATACCCTACAAATAACCTATTGGTTTTTATAGGGCTGCACTAAACAACTGATCACCAATAGTGTCTGACAAAATGTCCAACACAAACTCAGAAAAGCCAGGGCAGCTATTCTTCTAATGGGAAAATGCTTTTGTCAGGAAGTTACATTTGAAAACCAGCAACTGGGATTGGCAGCTAAAAGGAGCTGGTGAGCCCATTTGGGGGGTGAATGTTGCATACGAGCCTTTTAGGAAACTGCAATAGCCTCCCCCCCCCCTTATAAAGCCTTTAAGACATTTAAAACTATTTATAAAGATGTACATTTTAGCATGCAAAATGGTCAGGAACATTTCAGAGGCTTCTGTCGTTATACTGCATTACCAGCTTTTTGTGGGCAGTATAGTTTTGTACCGCAGTTAAGAGAACTCCTTTGAAAGGGACAGGGAAATAGGCACATGCAGTTTACGGTTTGCATATTTTGTGACTTAAAATATCTAATGTTCTTTTCGCCCACCTTCAAACTCAGGCTTGAGATTCAACTGAGAGGCAGAGTCTAGTTCTTGCATGTGGCTCATCTTTTCTTGCATCTGAAAAAAGAATTTGAAAGGGGGAGAGAAGAGAGAGAGAAACCTTAGACTCCAAGCATCTGACTTTCTAACATTCTTGTCTCCGTTACAGTTTGAAAAGCGGCTGCTCCATATGACTGTCTATAAAAGGAGAAACATACAAAGTTTGGACAGGGCATGGGAGAACAGGATCAGAGTACTTACTAAATCTGATACTTACTTGGGGCCGAACTTAAAGAAAATATTTTTTTGGCCTTGGATCCTGCACCATCAGAGAAGCAGACATTTGTGAATTGTTGGCAGCTTAACCTAGCTTGTTCATACTTTGCCACTCTGACTGTCTCAGCATAAAAGAATGCAAGCAGAATTTAGCCAAACTGGAATGAGAGTGGGTGGCCAGTGAGACAAGACCCCAGTTCCCAGCACTGCAAATTAGAAGAGTGTACGGGAGAAGCTGAAGAGTTTTATTGCGTTTCAACCAAGAGTCACAACAGGAAGGAGCAGATAGGAACAGAGTAGGAGCAAAAGATTATGGAGTTCCTAAGAACAGCATTCTACTGTTGACTCCCATTGCACCCTTGCATATTCCCCTTGTTTACACCCCAAGAGCCTTTGGCCTTCAGATGCTATAGCTGCAGATTAGATGCAGTCCAGATTAGATGCAGACTTGATCTAGTCCATCTAGTCTGTTAATCAGGGGTGCAGGAGCTCATTAGCATAACTCATTAGCACAACTCATTTGCATATGCCACACCCCCTGACATCACCGGAAGTGTGTCAGAAGGCAACACCCACCGCTCAGGCTCCACTGGACTGTTTTGGATTGCTAGCTATTGGGGGGGGGGGGGACGTGCAGATCTCTCCTTGCAAAGGAGGGAGAGCTTGTACCTGAATAAAACTTGGTCTTAAAGGTGCCACTGGACTGTTTTGGATTGCTAGCTATTGGGGGGGGGACGTGCAGATCTGTCCTCGCAGAGGAGGGAGAGCTTGTACCTGAATAAAACTTTTGCATGTGCCCGCCTCCTGGGCTCTTTACTGCCGGAGCTCCGCTCCTGTGCGCTCCTGCAGGAAATGACCCCTGCTGCTAATAAAGCAGGGTCTCTTGATTAAGGGAGGAATTCCCCTAGGTGTTTTCAGGAGGAAGTAGCCTGGATGCCTGAATGCTCCAGATGAACATTAAATAATCAAGGCTTTTTGTTTGACCCTCCAGAACTCCTCACAACCATGGCCCTAAGCATCAACCCCTGTTTGCAGGATCAAAGATCCCAGAATATCCTTTATAATGCAAACCCATTAGTCATTCAACTGCCCCAGGCATTTGTCAAACAGGCATTAACCAGTGCACCACTCAGGTCTTTCATCCTCCACTTCTTTCTTTATGACCATATTTGGACTTCTGCCTACTTTTACAAAAATCTAAATCTACAGATAGGAAGCAGGATACTGCATTTTGGGCCCAGTGCCGCCACAAATCCTAATTCTGCACTAAATCTGGTCAATAGCCAGGCTCTCCCATAGGAGCCCAGGTAAATGAGAAGGACAATTTATAGTCTTCATTTTTGTAGTAGTTCCCCTCCAGAACCAACTTCTAGTACCACAACCACAAAACCACCACCAGACCACTCCTCTTCAAGACAGGCAGAGTATGCCCTAACCCGGATAGCCCAGGCAAGCCTGATCTCATCAGATCTTGGAAGCTAAGCAGGGCTGACTCTGGAAAATATTTGGATGGGAGACCTCCAAAGAATACCAGGGTTGGGAGGCAGAGGCAGGCTATCAAGCCACTTCTCTGAACGTCATCCATGCCCCAGTAGGAGTCGCCAGAGGTTGCCATGATTTCCAGGCACGCGTGTGCACATGCACGCACGTGCACACACACAAAAGACAGGCAGAGTATGTTTTTCTTTCTCCCATCATGAAAGCTCATACCCTGCCACAAATTTTATTAGTCTTTAAGGTGCTACTGGACTCTTACCCTAACTACCATGGCTATGCATCTTGATCTTTCTCCCATCCTGTTCTTTACCCTGAACTTAACCTTCCACAACTTGCTACCTGCCACCCATTCCTTAACTCCTTTATCTTCCCATGTGGCTGGTCCCCATTAACATCTCTCTCCTCATCAAGGATTCCTTTCTGCCTGGTTTATCTTGCTACATTATCTGGTCCCATTCTGGGTAACCCCTCACCTGTCTGGGCAGGTTTGCTTCAGACTAGCCCTGTGGGAAGAACACAGTTTGGAACTTTAATTGGGTATCAAGCTTAAAGTAGTACAATCAAACACTAGGACTGTGCAAACTTGAATAGATTTATTAGATTACCCTACGTGGGGACTCCTAATAAACTTGCAGAGAGGGTGAATCCCTTCCCCCTCTTTGCTTCCTTCCCTCTTCCGCTTTCTCTATCAGTCTTCCCTCTCTTTCTCCCCTTTGTCTTATCTGTCAATCTACCACCATCTCTTTTGTACCCCATCCCTTCTCTGTCAATCTACCCCCTTCTCTGATAACCTACCCCCCCCATTTCCCCGCTTTCCCCATTCTCTTTATCTGTCAGCCTGCCCCCTATTTCACTCCTTTCTCCCATTCCTCTTATCTGTGAATCTAACCCTCATCTCTGTTGCCCCCCCCATTTTCTCCATCAGTCTACCCAACCCTTGCTACTCTCCCACCTACAACCCCACCCCTAGTACTTCACTCACCCTCACTTTTGCAGGTCTTCCAACCTACCCCCTACCATCCTTTGCACTCCATTCACCCCTCCCCACCCTTGCTGCTCTCCCACCTACCCCCACCCTTGGCATTCCATTCACCCACCACTCTTGCTGATCTCTCTATCTACCCCCCCACTCTTGGCATTCACTCGCCCCCAACCCTTGCTCTTTCCCCACATACCTCCCACCCTTGGCACTCAACTACCTCCACGCCCTTGGCATTCACTCACCCTCACCCTTGGTCTCTTCCCACCTACCCTGCCATCCTTGGCACTACACTGCTTCCCCCACCCTTGGCATTCACTCACCCCCCTTGCTGTCTTCCCATCTACCCACCACACTTGATCTCTTCCCACCTACCCACCACCACCCTTGGCTTCCACTATCCTCCCAACCTTGGCATTCACTGGCTCTCTTACCCCCAACCCACCCCTGGCTACCCCCCCCCTTCACATTCACTCACCCCCCACTCTTGTTCTCTTCCCACCTACCCCCCCCACTTGGCACTCCACTGCCCCTTCAGCAGCCCACCCACCCACTCCTCATGGCAACAGGCAGTGATCCAATCGGTGGTGCTCCTTGCCTCCCCTGCCTAAGGTGGTTGAAGGGAAGGAAGGCGAGGCCAGGCTGCCTCGCACTCACCTTGATCAGGCAGCCACAATGGCAGTGCTTGCAGTCACTGGGCCCAGGTGCTGCTGCCACCACTTCACCTCAGGATGAAAGGGAGACACCTGCCACCCATCGCCTCCCTCTCTCGCGCAGCCACCTCCTCCCCCTGCGGCCGGGGCAGCATCAGCTGAGCTGCCTCTAGAGCAAACCCCACATGAAGGGTGACACAGCTGGGGCTGCCACGGCTCTGCTTTGGTAAGTCCCTGTGCATGCATAGAGAAAGCTGTTGAAGTTTTTGGAGGATTTAAGTATCCCCTGGGGAGTGCCCCAAGTGTGCTGAAAAATATCATTAGCCTCCATGTGCCCCCTATCTGTGGAAATAAGTAACCACACATAGGGGGCACAGTTGGGAATTAGATATATAGATGTAAGATGCCATGGTATTAATGCCATTGCTCCCTCCCTTGTACTTTTGTCTTGATTCCCTACTTTTTACTCTTAGAATGGCAATAAGTTACTTGCTGATCAAGTGGTTGGCTCCCCTCCACATTTATTGTGCCAAACTAGGACCAATCTATGCAGCAGACTAAAGAATTCCTTTGTGACCCAGAACTCATGTTGTAGATTGTATAGGGGACATCCTTCACATGACAGGCCTGACATGGGGACTGATTTGGCTATCTCTACCTACATTCACTGCTGAGTTTAGGAAAGTTCTGTCAAACACCCCCCCCCCCCAATTATACCATTGTTTCCAGAGCCTTACAAAGGCTGCATTCTCATAATAGTGATAATGTTTTCTGTTGCTTTTATTACCACTAGAAATGCAGAAGCATTCACAGTAGCAATGGATCATAAAACTGAGTGGTAAATTCCCACCCCACTTCAGTCATCTTGCAACTTCCTGTCCACATTTCTTTCCATGCAATCTGGACAAAAATGCCAGTACCTTTCCCCTTATATTACCACAATGAAAAGGGCTAGATATTTACCTTTTTAAAAAAACAAATGGAAGCTTGAATTGTAGATCATGGCAACAGATATTGTAAAGTTATTATGCTATAGAGCAATGGCAATCATAACTTTTAAAAATCCCCCAATTAGCCCTCCAGTGCTGTCTTGGGGAAAATGGAAGCCACAAGGTGCTAACAGAAGGAAAATAATGGTTTTACCTACTCAGGGGTAGGAACTCTCAAGGACTTGCAGGAGACATCTCATTTCCCCTTTCCCCACTATTTCCTCTTTTCCTTCCCTAAAAGTCCCCATAGCCTCTCTTTTCCTGTTTCTTTCTCTCCTTCAAGGGTTGCCAACCTAGAGATCTTTTAGAATAACAATGGATCTCCCAACTACGAGATCAAGTTTCCCGTAGGGTTGCCAGCTCCAAGTTGGGACATTTCTGGAGATTTGGGCATGAAGTTTTAAGAAGGTGATTGGGGGAGGAAAGTGACCCCAGCAACATATAATGCCATAGAATCAATCCTCCAAAGCAGCCATTTTCTCCAGGGAAACTGAGCTCTGTCATCTGGAGATCAGTTGTAATTCTGGGTAATCCCCAGCCCCCACCTGGAGGTTATGGGTGCTTTGGAAGGTAGAGACTATGGCATTACACCTTCTGAAGTCCCTCCCCTCTTCAAAACCCACCATCCCCAGGTTCCACCTCCCAGATCCTGAGGAATTTCCTAAACTGGAGTTGGCAACCCTATCTCCTTCCTACGCAACAGCCAGTCTACCTTTATCTGTGCCTCTATCTTAAGCTGTCCCTCTCCCCACCCATCCCAGAAGCCTCTACCTAGGAAAACTATGGTCCAGTTGTGTGTTGCCAGCCACTGTACCAGGCCCACTTGTATGGTAGGGAACCCTCAAGGTATTGGGGGGAGGGTGCTTCACTTTTCCCTGTATCACCCTTCCCATGTTATTTCCTCTTTCCC